AGATATAGGAAGAAAGAGAGAAAGAGAAAAAGAGAGAAAGAAAAAGAGACAGAGCGATAGGAAGAAAGAAGGGAGAGAGAGGGGGTGGGAGAGAGAATATGGTGGTTGCTTTCCCCTTAACTCTTACCCTATTTAGACAACTTGCACAAATCAATTTTCTCTCTGTGGTTCAGTTTCCTTTAGCAGTTTAAACCTCAATTCAATCACGGGGCTCCAGGGATTTCCGAAACACTGAAGATTAAAACCCTCCTCCAGCCCCAAGTGTTTTTACTAATGCTGTGTGTTTAATAACTCCACTTATGAGCAATTTTGTTAGGGGGGAAAAATAAAAGAAGAAGATAAATCCAGCCCTGGCCAAAACCTCTGGAAGTGATAGAGCCGAATGTTAAAAGTCAAACTGCCCCTGTACTTGCCCTTGAATAAATGCGGCAACACGGCAATCACAGGCAATCACACGTTAAGGAAGACGCCTATCAGGACAGATCTATCATCCCCAGCCAGTGCCAAAAATACCTGCAAACTCATGTCCTCCTCCCTAACTCCACGCCAACTAGAGTTGTGAGGATGGCACAGTGATAAGTTTAGTTTAGTTTACTTTATTGTCATTGCACCTCGTACAATGAAATCAAACACCATCCTCAGTGCACATCATGACCATGAAAATAAACACAAACACACATCCTTCAACCTCCACACATTGAACCGGAAACCCTTGACACCGCACCAACACTGCACTATACAGCAGAATTCAAAAGAGCTACTGCCCTGGGATAGAAGCTGGTTTTCAGCCTATTTGTCCTTGATTTTATTATTATCCTGTACCGGCTGCCAGATGGTAATAGTTCAAAAAAAGGGTGCCCGGGATGAGATGGATTTTTGAGAATGTTTTGAACTTTCTTAAGGCAGCGGGAGCTATGAAGCTCTTCCAGTTTTCTGAGAAGCCTCAGGTAGAATAATCTCTGCTGGGCCCTTTTATTTATTTTATTTTTATTTATTTACTTTGATTTGTCAATTGCTTACAAGATAATAGGTATACGTATATATACATAGTTATGAATACATGAAATGGGTACATATAAGAAAAATAAAAGAAACAATAGGACAGGGACGGTAGGCACGTTGGTGCGCTTATGCACGTCCCCCAGGGTTGCAATGTGAGCACCCCCAGGTCAGGTCCTCTTTTAGGGTAACACCCAGAAACTTAAAACTGGCCACTTGCTCCCCTCGGTCTCCACTGATAAGCCAGGGCTGGAGGTCTGATCTGTTCCTTCTATAGTCCACTATAAGCTCCATGGTCTCATTGGTGTTGAGGACCAAGTTATTGTCTCCACACCACAAAAGCAACCGTTGGTCCACCTCACCTCGATAGGCAGACTCATCTCCCCTGGATGAGAGCCATTGTTGAAGAGATAACAACGAGCAAATCAAAAAATACAGGAGCAGACGGGGCCCGTTGGAAAGAGAGAGAGAGCCAACTGTCCAGTTCACAGGTGCAGGTGGACCACAAAACTGAGTCCAAAATTTCTCTCGCTAAGTGAAAAACATCTGCTCAGTTGAATTTTTTTCACTCCATCGTGCGACTTCGTTTTGCTCCATTTTAAGACAGTTTCCTTGCCATGGTTGTTAAGTGAATCACTGCAGCGGGTAAAGGAATAGCACAGTTGTTAAGCGAATCGGGCTCCCCCACTGACTTGGCTTCTCAGAAGGCTACAAAAGGGGGATCCCGTATGACCCCAGGACACTGCAACCGTCATAAGTACGAGTCAGTTTCCAGGCGTCTGATTTTTCACCATGCGACCCTGGGGATGCTGCAGTGGTCGTAAGCGTGAAAAATGGTCGTAAGTCGCTTTTTTCAGAGCTGCTGTAGCTTTGAAGGGTCACTAAATGAACAGTTGTAAGCCGAGGACTACCTATGTATCACTTAAAAAAAAAACACATATAAGATTCCTGCGTAAAATACCATTTTGGGCAACCGTTGGTGGAAACAAAACAATTGGCTTCTTTAATCTGAATTAAATCAGATTAAGTAGGCAGGACAGATCCTGAAGCTGAGGCTCAAAGTCTTTGGCCACCAAAGGAGAAGAGAGGACTACTTGGAGAAGACCCCGAGGCTGGGGAAGAGGGTAGGCAAGAGAAGAAGGTGAGATGGTGAGACGGTGTCATTGACGCAACGAAGGTGAATTTGGGCAAATTCCGGGAGACTGTGCAGGGACGGAGGGCCTGGTGTGATATGTGAATCATGGTGTGATGACCCAGGGTGGGATACAAAATAAACAAAGTCACAAAAACAGACGAAGTCCCTTTAATTCCTTCATCTTGGCTTCAAAGCTCCTTGACTGGAGACAAAAAACTCACCCGCAAACAGTTGCAAAAAAGGAGGAAATGCCGTTTAAACTAAAAATACCTATAAATTATCGATAGAAAAACAACAACACAAACCACCCTGAAGCAATTAAGGGAACCAGGCAAGATAAGGGCTTGAAGACAGTCCACAGATGTCGGAATACACACTGGGAAGGATGCCAAACTCAAATAAGAACAGACAGACTAGAAATATTTTCACTCTTTGTTTCCAGCACTGACTCACGTGCAGTCCGTCTTTTTAAACAGTTCTCACGGCTGCAGCCCATGAAGGGGATCAAGGCCCTTTCCTCCCCCGCAGACCACGCCATTCACGTTTCTCCCTTATCCTCTCCTCCCTGCGTGCCCTAGGATGGAGAGGGGATGGGCCTGGGTCCTCCTCTGACCGCCCAGCCGGCCTCTGCCCTTCCCCAGCCTCCTCCACAACCTCCGGAGCCACACTTCCACTCCCTGTCGGCTGTTCTTCCTCTCCCTTGGAGTCAGTCTCCAACAGGGGCATGACACATGCGGTCGTGAAGAAGCGGATATGACTTAACGACGGAACCAGTGGTGGTATTCGCCCAGTTTAGTCGAACTGGTAGCTTCGAGGATCATCTATGAGCGAACCAGTTCGCTCCGACGATCAACTGCTGGGCCCTCCCACCTGCCCCGGCTCTATTCTGACTTTTATTTCCTGCTTTTGAAGCTCAGCTGCTTCGTGCGGCACAGCGGATTGCTGCGGGTCAGCTGCTGAAGACACAGGGAGAGTGCAGGATTGCAGGAGAAGGTTAGTAGCAAACCCACTGCGCGTGGCACAAAGCGCGCCCACCAAGCTACGCCCAAAGAACCTGTGGTAAAAAAAAAGTTGAATCCCACCACCGGATGGAACAAACAACAAAGTAGCCGACCAGCTCAAAGGGTTTTCATTCAAATTATTATTTTGTTGTTCATGGCAAAGAAGATTGTATGGAACCATTCCAGGTTTCAGTCGAGAGTCTTGAGACGCCCATTAGATTTCTGATCCTCGCCACTCTTGAAAACGAACCATCATCATCGTTCAACATCTCACAATACGTTAGAGCAGGGGTCCCCAAACTTGGCAATTTTAAGACTTGTGGACTTCAACTCCCAGAATTCTGGGAGTTGAAGTCCACAAGTTTGAAAGTTGCTAAATTTGGAGACCTCTATTTTAGAGGATCAATTCCCTCTCAAAGACCAATCGCAACGAGCTCAAGTCTTTTCCCTACCCAAGCAAGCTTCCTGGGGTTTAAGGATTCTCCTCTCCCCTTATCTAGCTTACAATCGACATCTTACATCCAGGCAGAAAAAAACGAAGTCTTTGGAGGAGATCCGCATGAAACATGACTGTCCCTTCACTCAACGGAGGCCAACAAGTCACATGAAGTTGTCCCAAATCAGCTACTTCCTTGCGGTTCCAAACTTCAGAACTGGCTAACGCTTCAAAAGACGTGCTGATATATCCAAGCAAGTTTAGCTAGTTCAACGTTCCTTCCATGTTCGGGTGTTATCGATATCCCAATCAATACCATCACCAATTAGATATTGTCCTTTGGCCACAAAGACAACATCGTTACTTTCGGGATACCTAAACAAGAGACGGGACGGTCCCAATTTCAAATTTTTTCCAAGCAGTAATCCCACGCCTTCAACCACGATGGAATGAAGTTGTTCATTTTGTCCATCCACAAAATACCTTCAGTTTGATTTACTCTCATAAACATGTTATCAACGGAAAATCCATGTGCATTAACCGTGAACACAATTTTTTTTTAAAAAACAAAACAAAACACTTAGGTCTGATAGACCCTTTCCTACCTGAGGTAGCATCAGTTGCTGAAGATCCTCCCTGTAGATCAGAAGTTGGGCGCGATGATCCGGGCATGCTAACAGGCTCAGAACGGACAGGCTGGATTCTAAAAATACAAACCATGGTCAGTTGAAGGATCCGTTTGTTGAAAAGAGTGCCACGGGGCATGCAGAACAAGAAACAAAGGCAACACAACGATCTAGACCCCGATTCAGAATGCAATAACTGAGCTACAGTATGTAATATCAACAGCACTAGCACTTAAGATTTATATACCGCTTCAGGGCTTTACAGCCCTCTCTAAGCAGTTTACGGAGTCAGGCCTCTTGCCCCCAACAATCTGGGTCCTCATTTTACCTGCCTCGGAAGGATGGAAGGCTGAATCAACCTGGAGCCAGTCAGGATCGAACTGCTGGCAGTGG